ATAGAAGGTTATTCGTAACACATACTCTGAGTGTGACTTCATGGGATATTGCATTAGTTTATGCTTAACTTTCATTTTTCAGTTTGACAAAACTGACTACACATTTTGTAACTCCAAAAGAACGCTTCAAAAACACATCTCTTTCATAAAAATAAAATGACAGCGTTCTTAGTGAACAAAGTAATATTAGCATTCAGCTGTTTATGGGTTTTAAGTCACTTGAGAGATGTTCAAACAATGTTTGCATTGCTCTTTTAAGATGGTTCTAAAATTCTACAAATCCTAAGGGGAGACTGATTGCCTTTTAGATGTTTAATACTTCATTATCTTCATCAGCTAGTTGCTAACTTAATTTGTTTGTTAGCTCTGGGCAGAGTAAAAACTTTTGTAATGAAATGAGATGTCGAAAAACAGCTCACAGCTGCAGACTGTGGGCAGAAGAAACTAAATAATTAGCTTAAAGTTAGTGTAATTTAATTTAAAATTCTGTGTAGCTACAAAACTCAATGATTTTAAGCCCATTTTCAAACTTTTAAGAGTGTCTTTGGCCAATAGGTGACAGCAGGTTTTACAGGAATAAGACTACATTTGCCTGTCAAAACTAAGTGGATCCTTGTCAGTCATCATATCCTGCGAGTGACATGTTTGTCTCAGTACGATTTAATCTCATGAAGAACTCACTGGCCCTCATGAGATGCCTAAAGTTGCACCGAGTAAGTGAGTGAACAAAAGCTCCTAATTGTTTGCGTTGTCACTGCCTAAACTGCTTAAGGCCTGCATTGATACTGACTATCTGATCTGGCAGTGTGTTTCTGTAGTTATGAGGACAGCTTAGCTCAGGCTGCTCCGTCTTCACCTGACCTCTGACAGCTTTTAAATAGAAATGGAAGAGCCAAGAGCCCCTGGGTGCATAAGGCGCAAGATGTTTTCCAATAACAGCTTAAGGCTGGAGGAAACATCCTCCCCCCATGTGGCAGCGTGATTCTATCACTTTTAACCGTCTGCCATCGCTGCTGCTCTCTCCCGCTCTCTCTATTTCTCCAAAAACCCAGAGGAGGTTTGACCTGATTCTGGGCTGTTAGTATCTCCAGACCAGTGGAGAAAATGTGATAGGAAAAGGAACCTCTGAGATGATAATTGAAATTTGAAGCATGATATTTCCGTGTGTAACTCACCTCATTCTCATTTCGCCCAGGTGATGTTAGGTCAGTCGCTGTTAGTTGAATCACAGTCTCCCAGACTTCTGCCTGCGGGCCACTTGCTGTTACTTTAAACTGGACCGGTTCATGCAAGCTGGCTACATCTTCCTGGGCAAAGATGGATCCATCTGTTCGCACACCGAAGACAGGGTCACTGCTCTGGAAAACCACACCGTCGTTCCCTGCGCAGTCGTCAAACTTCACTGTGGACACAATAATTGACGAGAGTTTAGCTTGTAGTTCACACAAAGGCAGCAACAGCCAAGAAATGAAAAAAAAAAAAAAAAAACGAACAAACCCATAAACGATGGCTGGCTGGGATGCAGTCAAAATTACTGTGCTAACTCACAGTCATGCAAACACTCAAACAGCACACCTGCAGCGCACACAACTCAATATAAGATAAACAGCAACATGAATACAAATATGAAAGAGCGTGTCAGAGCACTTAGTTTGACACAGACGATTGTTTTTGAGGCCTGTTCTTTAGAGTTGAAAAAAAAAAACCACCGATGTCCAAATGAGTGAAAAACTGGATTTCATTAAAGTAAAAAAAAATTATCCTTATTTCTGATAACAGAAAACTAACATCATGGAAATAAAGCTTTGGTTAAAACTATACAAAGTTTCCATCAAAAAGAAAATTTTATGTTTATCTTGCTGAAGAGAGGCACATATTAAGTAGAGACTTTCTGATTATCTTGCTGTTTAAAGTAAATGACAGTCACAAAGTATCATTCAATACTGTACAGGACAGTATGGAATAATGTAATGCAATACAATTTACCAATTTTCCTCTTCGGGTAATTTTGTTTTTGACTGAATGCTCTCCCAATAGCTGCTTTCAGAAAAAAAATGCATAATAAACCTGTTAAAGCGTATGTCTTCAACAATGTTCCTCATGGCACTGTCCTACATGTTTTAGATGTTTCCCTGCTTTAATAGCTGACTGAAATAAATGAATGACTGACAGTCTTCTGCTACACCTGGTGACATACTGAGGGGGTAATTTAATTATTTGAATCAGGTGTGCCAATGCAGGGGAACCTAAACAGTCTACACAAACATGAAACTAGATACCACATGACATGAATTTATGACCGCTGCACATATACAAAGCGAACACATTCTCATGTCAGACTCGTCAACATATTGACGCTTGGGTAGGGACCGTCTGCATCCAGTTTTGACGTGTCAGGTACCCCCCGCACGTCCGTCCTTGCCGCCCGCGACTTTTCCGGGTTGCGTCACTTAGGGGTCTTTGGGTCGGGGGTCTGAGGTTAACGTGAGGGATCAGGATTAATGGTTAATTTGAGATACAGGGGTCTTGGATAGGCTGTATACAGCTAATATAGGTTAAATTTAGGCTCTGGGATGGTTAGTTCTCACAAATTCTCTACATTAAAATGGTTAGTATGAAGGATCAGGGTTAATGGTTAATTTTAGGTTCTGTGGTCAGGGATAGGATGTATAAGGCTAATAGAAGTTAAATTAAGGGTCTGGGATGGTTAGTTTCACGCATTCCCTACTCTTGTAAAAAATGACAAGGTGCTCATCCTCCTTCGCCTCATCTCGTAAAGAACAGACGCCTGGGGGGTACCCAGCTCATCTGAAATTTGACGCAGACGGCTTCCTGACCAAGCGGCAATATGTTGACACGGGGGGCATGATAATGCGTTGACAAAGCACCAGTGCACCAGAACTCAAAAGTCACCAGAATGGATTTATTGTTTTGGGTGAGGGTCCAGAGGGTGCGGGGAGGGATACTCATTGGTGGGACTGATGGATAGCCCTTCATCAGAGCTAGACAACAAAGAAAATCTGAAGCTCCTATGTTGAATAGTTTTTGAGTTATAAGCATTTTTGTTTGTCTGGACACCCACTTTTCAGATGGAGCCCCCTCCTCAAATATGGGGTCTATCATAAAACCATTGGCTGGCACAGTGTGGGTTTGATCTACATTCCTACCAAAACTTACTGATTGATGTGGCCAGTTCTGTGCTATGGATAACCAAAAATCTAAATAAAATAAAATAAAATAAAAACAGTACAAAAACAATATGACCCCCACTTCATCTAATTTCCCTGTGGGATCAATAAATTATTTTTGAATTTGAATTCACATAGCAGGAGTCATAATAAGTTGCTTATACACTGCATAATTGCTATTCAAAATGTGCAAACAATGTAAAGGCGGGAACAAAAAACAGGTCCTGCACAACCTTTACTACAGGATCAAGTAAAGTCAAGCATAGTTCAGAATTTGGAGAAGTTTTTTAATGTATTTGTGAAAGTGGTGACAGCAAAACGGATGCATTGTTACCAACGACAATTTGAGTGACATCAGTACATTAGGATTGGTCTTAGTAGGATAATTAAAAGGTAAGTAAAATGAAGCTTGCACAAAACATCTACTCTCATCAAGTAGAAATCAGAATGATCACGGCACAATTTTAATCTCTTATGTAAATCTACAACCAGCTCATGGGAGGATAAGTCGGAGATGAGGGTAGCCCATACTGGCCTGCTGTCCTCATTTACTTCCTCTCTCGTGGTACCTGCAGCCTTCTCGCCCTCTCTCCTGGGGATTACATTGTCTAGACAACATATTGTAAGAAACCCTGAGCTGAAAGCTGTAATTCACTTCTGTATCTTCTCTTTCCCTCCTCCAACACCTCGACAGCAGCTGAAACAAGGTTCCCATTACAGAAAGTGACTGAGAGTAAATCCGTCCTTTTGTTCTGCCTGGACTTTAAATAACCCTGCGATCATGCCAGAACCCTCCATCTAAAGCCAGATGTCCAGTCGGCCACTCAAAGCTCAGTTTTAGGGGACATCTATTCACTGACACTGTCTGTTCAGCTTGTCAGGTGCTAAACAAATATCCCTTTTTTAGACAGGTAAAGATGAGATAAGGGATGGATTACATTAATAAAAAAAATGAAGAAAAGTTTTTGTTTTCCATTACTGATGGGCACATTCACCTTCAAAAACCCTAACTTGGCTGTTTTAGTTAATTTCCTTTATGTCTGATCCCATTTTATTGTGTTTCTTCTATTATTTGTGCAGGATTTCAAAGATTAAAATTGGATGGTGGAGACAATAATTACAAACATGCCATTTGGTAAACGGAGGCATACATGAATGGAATTGTGGAAAGATGCCTAAACATTTTAAAAACAATAAACAAGAGAAATGAACTCAAATCATACTTTACTGTACTATATATAAAGTTCTGGAGTATGTGAAGCAATCAAATGCCCAAGGGAAAACAAAAGAAACAAACAGACAGTTTTTGGTCTGGTGCCCCTTTTCTCCCAATTATTGTTTCTTCTGTCTGTAAGCTAGGCATACAGCCAGCAGAGCAGTATAACTGCAGTTGTTACTGAAAGAGGCCTGTAGGCTCAATGTCAAAACAGAAAGAAGTGGTAATATACAGTAGAGGTCATGGTCAAAACTAAAATGTGAATTTGTCAGTTTTCATTTTACATTTCCATCCTTTAAAATACTCAAAATTTACAAAGATATGTGTAAAAATGTCAATCTTGAAGCCCAGGAAGAGCCCCAGGCTGAACCAGAGGGGCTACAGGTAGCTGTTATGTGCTTACAAATACAATCCGCAGTAATTATGTGATGTGAAATTGACAGAAAAGCAAAAGTTTTAAAAATAGCATTTGATCAAACCACAATGACATTTTTTCGACTGCAGTAGTTTTAGGACAGCAGCAAAAAAAATGGGATAACCAGCACTCCAAAAAATACTGTTGTTTTCATAGGGGCAGAAAACAGGACGCGTTTCGGCTACATGCCGTCGTCAACTTGTTACAGATCAGACAAACTACAAATCTATATAAAGAGGTAAAAATAGGACAGCAGCAATTCACTTTGGCCTGGACTTGCTCAGACTAGCTGTTAGCTGGAAATTCAGTCAACATTAAACCATATAGCTGTTTTTGACACATTCACCTACTCTCTACATGATGGTTATATATAAGAAACACATATATACAGGATGAGGGACAGCCTGGCCATTTTACATTTTAAACAGTACTTCAGTGTAGTGGTATTTCATAATTAGGCTATACACCAAGTATTCAGATGCAGGTGTCACATAAATAAAAAAAAAATATGCTATGGAATGCACATTTGAATCTGATGTGATGGACAACTAAATTTCAGTGGTTTTGAGGAAAAGTAATTACCATTATCTGTCTCCATAACACTGACATAACATTTATTTACACATAATGTATCTGTTACATCTTTTTTGTTCTGTTTACACAAGCATGCACTGCAGCTATTACCTTCAGTAAACCCAAAGTATAAATTATTCCTTTAGAAAACATGTCTGCACAGAACAACTGCTGTGTAACGGATGTGCAAAAAACATTAATAAATTGTAAAACGCTGCATATAGCCTTAAAGTAAAAGTGTGGCTTGCTTTACTTTGTGATTTACAAAATACCGTTAAAGATTTGGAAAAAAAAAACTGCATTAGAACTAGGGTGGTACAAAATCTTATGTGCAATTGTCAAAAAAATAACTGTCAACAATTAATATTTGCCATCTTTGCATTTACTGCAATTAGTGCCAGATCATGTTGTGGCATATTGTGTTACTAAAGATATGTTTCCACTCCACATTGTGGAAAAGGTGGGCACCAATTCAAAGCTTAGTGTTTTAAACTGCTAAAATGAAGAAGTTCATTTGACCGATGATTTATAAGTATCATTTTAGAACACAGGATAAATGATTTAGAGTCAAAAACATGCAAGTGCAATTATCATCTATTAACCGTTATCAGCTAAATGCCACAAATAATCGTGATTCTTTTTTGTCAATATCACCCAACCCTAACTAGAACACATTTTTAAAATTACTTTCCAAGCTCAGACAGAAGATGGAAAATACACTCTATATTAAAGACATCTAGATGATTTTATGCCTTTTTAACAATTCTGAAAATTACAGAAAGTAGAAAGATTGCTTTTTCTGCAACAATGCAGTGTCCATGCTTATTGCTGAACAATTTAGGTAAAAGCTGCTAGAGAAGCTGAAACATTTTTAAACTAAACTACTAATAATTGCTGAATTTTAACAGTTGAAGTGGAACCAAAAGTTAGCTGAACGACTGCTGAAATTTGCTGAATAACCCAAACTGTGAAAACAAATGCTTCAGGGTGCAGAGAATAGCCAAAAAATC